TCTCTCTCTCTCTCTCTCTCTCTCTCTCTCTCTCTCTCTCTCTCTCTCTCTCTCTCTCTCTCTCTCTCTGTGTGTGTGTGTGTGTGTGGATGCCTCACTGTCTCTCCTTCCTTGGATAGCTCATTCTCACTCTCTGAATGCACTCGCCTCTCAAACCTTATCGGCTATGGTGGTCGTCTTCCTCCTCCTCACTAGTCCTAGCTGTGGTGCTTCAGCACCGGCCACTCCAACAACTGCTTGACCAGTCTCCTTGAAACGTTGTACAAGTGTATAGCAGCGCTTCCGCAACATGTGAGTTGACAAGTGAGGTGCTCGATGTACTAGAGCTGCTTAAGTGGCAGCCCAATTGAGGTCTTTGTCCGCTCCAGACCAGTCACGGTTTCCCAAGGCCTATCGGCTGCACTTTTTCCAATTCCGGTAACTCACCGGACTTGCTCAGGATGCTGTTGCTAAATTTAGAGAACGACTGAAACATGAAATCCTTTCACTGGTCTCTGGATCGCTTGACCACATCAGGGAGAAGTCGTTGAGTGAATACATACCGTACATTTGATGGAAGGGACATTGGACCCGGTTTCCAGCATTCTTAATACAAAAATCCTCGACTTCTTCAGAGAGAAAAGAAAAGAAAAGAAAAGAAAAAGGAGGGAATCGACATGCTCAGTCCTTTAAACGAAGAGGGCACCTGTAACAAGGCGGAGACAGGGCAGCGAGGCTGGGAGAGGGAGGGAGAGTGAGAGCACACACACACGTTCACTCAACTCGACGCAGACTCGACATGACTCGACGGACGCAGACACAAAGTGGCGAAGTCGCAAAGTCACAAAGTCGGAGTCTTTTGGATTCCTGAACACAATGTCGAAGCATAGTTACACTGAACACAAGCAATGACTCAGAGGCCGAAAACTGGTTGCCTGTACTGGGCTTGAGTCCGGTCTTAAGCACCGGGCTCAAGTTCAGTCCCGAGGGCAGAAGTGCAAATTGCCTCAGGGCTGAACTGAAAATCGGAGGTCTGAGTCTGGGCGCCAGAATGCCGGATGGCGCCAAGTATCGAAATCCGAAAGTGCCAAAAGAGGAGAACGGGCGCCAACTGCAGAGGGCGCCAACAGTCAGGGGCCTGAGAACAGAGACCCAAAAATGAAATAGCAGCCTGGTGGGTGCTAACCCGCGGATTAGGGATCGAGCCCTAGCTCAGTCCGTAACACTATAATCCCCTCCCTCTGGAAGGCAGCGTCCCGGCTGCCAAAGACCTGGTGAACAACCGGGAAGGACGGGACGGGGCCGATCACTGGTCAGAAAAGGAAAGGGGGCTTTACATACCTCCAAAGCCCATCAAGTCCGCCGATTAAGGCTCCTTCTCGTCTGCTCATTCCGTTAGTTAGGTACTTACTATGAGCCCTTCGTCACATTCGACCTAAATGATGCACCGGCTTCACCATCAGATTGCCAGCATCGTAAGTCCTTCAGGAAGGGTTACCTTAATAACAAGAAGTGATCTCCTCCCTCAGCATGTCTCCAGTGCCATTCAGCTTTTCACTTTAGGTGCAACTGCCCGTGCTGCAGAAATAATCCCTCCTCCTTCAAAAATCCTATCAGACCTGTGTTATCTGTCAAGGGTGACACAACTCAACCCCATGGGGCAACTACCCGTTTAAGAGCAATGTCCCAAATCGCTTGCATTTTGGCGAAAGACAGTTTTGAAAATCGTATCAGCTGCTATCGTGTTTTCAAGGGTTTGTAGTACTTTGTACTCATACATGCAGGTGCATGCCGTGCGGAAAATTGCACACAAACGGCGCACAAGCGCGCAGTGCCTCCCGATCTGTGCTGTGCACAGGGGAAATGGGCACCAACACCAACACCAATGCCACCAAGTAAAAAAGAAGGGGTTGCAGGCCTGGATCAGTGGCCACCTGCACCCCCTTTTGAAAATTTATTGTGGGTCAATGTGGGGTGAAAAAATAAAAAGAAAACTAGTGGGAGAGTAATGCCGCCGCCTAATGATATCAAGACTGATATCCCAGACACCTATTCGAGGCCATCTCTCATGCCCAATTCAACAAAAAGAAAAACAGATTAAAAAACATGTACGACTGTACTTGAAAAGGATCCGTTCTTGCAAAAAAAAAAAAAAAAAGAAAGCATCCGTTCCCTAGGTGGTGCACTCTAAGACTTCTCTATCGGCGCACGGGCAGGTGTTACGCCACACACCATGCTGTGCACCGGACGGTGCGGTGCCAAACACTGTCAGGCTCCTACGGCATCATTACGCGATTTTCATGTCCACACCTCTACCAAAACGACCCCAAAACATAACTGCCAGTCTTTCTGTCAAACAGCCCAGATCCGATCGTTCTTTCACCACCATTGGGATAGTTGGCTTGTTCGATGGCTTACCAAAAAAAAAAAAAAAAAAAAAAAAAAAGGTCCGCTACAGCACTATGTATGGAGAGGCTCCTACCTGAATTGGGCAGAGCTCTCTGGTATGTGTGTCAGCAGACCCATGGCACTGCTTGCCTCTGATGTCTCTGCTGACAAGCACATGGTCATGGCAGCGACTCAACGTCTGTTCTTCAAATGCAGAACACGTATTTCCATTCACCACTCTTCCGTGAGCCCGGCAAATTAAATTTGAAATTCCTTTTGGACCCCAACTTCGTCGAAAAACTTGGCGAGGACGCAAAGTCGCCATCCAAATGAATGGTTGTCGGGTTCACGGAACAGCCGTCAATGGAAGAGTACCTGTTAGCCATTGGAAGAACATCAGACCTAAGCTTGAGTCTCTGCCATGACCATGTGCTCATAAATGAACGATGTTTTGTCATCGCCGTAGCTGACTTCTAGGAGGGTCAACAAAAGGGGGTGCTGGAGCGACCTCAGCCTGAGTCAGACAGTGTGCGCTCCCTCCGTCTTGAACTGGGCATGATGGTGGGGACTCCGCTCAGCTCGCTTGGCTGCAATCTTCTTCGCTATTGCAGAGTGGCAATGTGCAGTTTCATCATCCTCCCTCACCTCCCTGAGTTTCCTCTCTCTTCTGCAGTTGGCTGTCGCACGAAGCAGATTGTTGAAGGAGGCCTCGTGAAATGGCTGATCAATGGCATGTCTGAGCATGACTTTCTGGCTGCCTAAGTGAGCTTGGCCATTACCTTTCCTATGTGTGTCTGTGTCTTTTTCTACCCTGGCCTTCATCTCCTTGATTCTCAACCTCGCCACTTCGAGTGTCCAAAAAAGTTGCAGTGTGCAGCCCAACCTGGCATGCCCCACCAAAATGATCATGATCTTCCTCCTTGAGTTCCCTCTCGCTACTGAAGGCGTTAAGTGCATGAAACCGATCGCTGAAGGAGTGCTTGTGAAGCAGCGGACTCACTGCATTCATTGTTTGAGCACAGTTTGCTGCCAGTCCAGGTGAAGAGCTTGCCCGCATCTTCTCATTGTCCATCATGCCCTTTTCTAGCCTGGAGTTCATCTCCTTAATCTTCCGTTTCGCAGCCTCCAGTGTCTTTGCCAAGAAACTTTTATCATCCTCCAACTGATGGATCCGCTCTCTTTTCACTCTATCCTCCACTTCAAGCTGCATTCTTTCTTTCAGAGATATCCGTCGCATATTGCCCTCCTTCTCCAGCCGATCTTCCAGCTCTTTATTCTTCAGCTTGCAAATGCTCAGCGACTCCGCCAACTGCGCTCTCTTATCTTCCAGCTGACAAATCCTCTCTTCCTTCACTCTCTCTTTCCTTTCAAGCTCTGCTATCATGCACTCATCATACATCAGCCCGGCATCCACCTTCTTTTCCAACTCTCCAATCCGCTGACCGGACATTCTTAACTTATCTTCCAACTCTCCATTCTTGAGCTCGGAGACGTTGAGAGCCTCCACCAATGCTGCCCTCTCCACTTCCATCTGACAAATCCTCTCTTCCTTCACTCTCCCTTTCTGTTCAAGCTCTGCTCTCAGACTGGACTTATCAGACATCAGCTGCTCATTCATTTTTTCCAACTCTGCAATCATATGCTGGGATATCCTCAACTTATCGGTCAGCTCTGTGTTCTCCTCCGTCAACTGGCGTATTCTCTCGCCCTTCTCTACCAACAGCTCCACTTTGGACCTGTCCAACCTTTCCTGCGCATCCGCCTCCCTTTCCAATGTTCGTTGGATATACCTTGTTGTCTCCGTGGATCTGTCATAAGCCATTTCTATGAATGACCTTGTAATTGCTTCAAAGTCGATGATGTTTTGGAGCGATGTCGCGATGAATCCCTGCTCTGCCTTCGATTTCCGTGCGGTCTCTCGTGTTCTGTGCTCTTCCTTTTCCGATGATTCTTCCAACTCCTTTTCCCTCTGCTCGGACGTCATGATATCCTCTCGAGATGACTGCCAAAGAGATTGCTTCTCCCCTGTCAAGGGTCCATGCTTTCTCTCATGTTCTGCGGTCTTTCTATCAAGCTTTCTCCCAGATTCTGCTCTCACATTTTCTGACAATCTGGGCTCTTCTACCACGTGCTTCGCCTCGGATATGCCCAAGATTTTCAGCTCGCTAACCGTTACCTCCTTTTCCGATGTGTCCTCGAACTTCTTGGACGTCATGGTATCCTCTCGAGCCGACTGCCAAAGAGGCTGCTGCTCACCTGTCAATGGTCCAACGTGCGTTCTCTCATTTCTGTCGACCTTTCTCCCAGATGATGATGCTCTCACATTTTCTGGGAATCTGAGCTCCTCTACCACGTGGTCCGTCTTGGATGTTTCCAAGATTTTCAGCTCGCTAACCTCCCTTTCCGATGACATTGTGTCCTCCAACTCCTTTTCCCTCTGCTCGGACATCGTGGTATCCTCTCGAGCCGACTGCCAAAGAGGCTGCTGCTCACCTGTGCATGGTCCGTGCTTCCTCTCGTTTCTGTCGAGCTTTCTCCCAGATTCTGCTCTCACATTTTCTGACAATCTGGGCTCTTCTAGCTTGTGCTCTCGCTTGGATTCATCGCCAGACATTTGCAGCTCGCCTACCTCCTTTTCCAACGTGTCCGCCAACTCCTTTTCCCTCTCCTCGGACATCACAATATCCTCGCGAGCTAACTTCAAAAGAGACCGATGTTCTTCTAGCTYGTGCTCTCGCTTGGATTCATCGCCAGACATTTGCAGCTCGCCTACCTCCTTTTCCAACGTGTCCGCCAACTCCTTTTCCCTTTCCTCGGACATCACGATATCCTCTCGAGCTAGCTTCGAAAGAGACCGATGCTCGCCTGTCGATTTTTCGTGCTCTCTCTCTTGTCCTAGAGTCTCTCTCTCAAGATTTCCCCCATATTCTGCTCTCCTCACATTCTCTGACAAAGTGACCTCTAGCACAGATAGCGCTCCTTTCCCGCCAATGACAAGGCTTAGCTCATCACATCTTGGAGAAGCAACCATGCTCCTTACGCTCCATATGTTGCTAGAATAGAAGAGAAGTGGCGAGTAGTCAAACTCGCTCCAGACTCCAATGGTCCCATCACACCCTGCACCGAAGATGTAAGGCAAGGTGTGATGAAGAAAGGCAGCACATATGGAGCCTGTGGCATTATTTTGTTTCCACTTCAACTTGGCAACACAGGCACCTGTTGCGTAGTCCCACACCGCTAAGTAGCCAGAACATCCACCTGCGATGAGATGCGACTTACGGACATCATTGCAGAATCGGAAATTTTGAATCTGCTGTGGGGCCCCGAACGTTTTCGTTGGCGTCTCTGTCCCTATATCCCACACCTTGATCTCCCCCCCGTTAGACAGACTTCCAAAGACGTCCAATTTATACGGGTGAAATGCCACCATTCTTGCTTTGCATGCATGGCCCTTCAGTACTGTTCGCTTCACAACGACAGTCGTGTGTAGACTGGCGTCGAAATCCCAAAGCTCAACGTTATGACTTTCCCAGGAATAGCATGTCAGCATATAAGGTAGGACTGGATGCATAGCAATGTCCACCACTTTGTTGACGGATCCTTGGTGAATGAATGCCGTTTTCAAGATTGAACCCTCAACCTCATAATGATACACAACCCATGATTCTGTGGTCACAATCACAATCCACTGCTTGTTTGGAAAAAAACGTGCGAACTTACCGAGCCCATGCTTCTTCAACTTCAAGTTGGTGATGCATTTGCCCTCTTCATAGTCCCAGATTCTCATGCGTGTCTCCTGAACCACAAATAGCACCCATGGCTTGCTGTGGTGCAAGTCAATGCAGGATCCATATGATTTCGCGTCCCCTATCGTCTGGAATCCATACTTATGCCACTTTGGAACCAAGTTAATTTCTTGTGAACAACTTCCCATCCTCAGGCTGGTGGTGTTCGGGTCGTTGGTCATCTTGTCAGTCATCAGAATGGATCTGGATGGAAGATATCAAAGCAGCCCTTTCGGCGCAATCATGCCCTTAAACCGCCAGTTCAACTGCAGCAAAAGTGGTGTCTTGTCAGGAGAAGCGACAAGACACCTCAGCTTTGAGGCTGATCCTGTAGATCCCTGTGGGAAGAATTGCAAAACAGTACCGCTTCGCTTTTTCTCATGAAAACGAAGTACCGAGACACTTAGGATCGGAGGCCACGCTCGTACATTGTTGTTTGTGTGAACTGGTGGTTCAAACTTCAAATGGGTTGCAGCATCGCCAGGAGCTTCTGCATCTGTAGACTCCAGTCATGATATCAAACACTGTGATCACTGCGAGTAACTGTAGCAGCTTCTGCATCCTCTACACAACACTCGACATGCAATTGGACGCTTTCTGGATTCGATGCATTCAAAACGCCACACTTGTCCGTATACACCTGGTCCAGAAGAGCATCCAAATGCAGGTAGAGCGTTTTGTAGTGGAGCAAGGCTCGATACCATAACACTATAATTCCCTCATGCATCAATGACTATGGCTAGTACAATCTGGGCATGCGTTACACTGCAGAAAAAAGACAATGGATCTCAGTCTTCCAGTCCCAATAATGTGAAGTATCTGGTCATGCTATAGGTATCGTTCAGTTCTTCGAACTTCTTTCTTTAGATTGACAATGTTCATTATTTCATTCCAATGGCATGAATTGCACTGAACCTACGCTTCACACGGCTTCCAATTTTTCACACAAGCCTTGCCTTGGACAAAGCTAGCTAACATGGGAGGTATCACAACAGATGAGATATGAGAATGCCAAAAATGTCCTGAATGAATTTCAAAATTTGAAGTCTTATATACAACTGGAAGGATGTATGCAAACCAGCGGCTATGGCCGCAACTCACTGGACGACAAGCAGCAAGTTTTGTACGTGCGTCGTGCGGAGTCAACGGCAGCAGCAGTCAAATCCTGAGCGGCGGCCACAACTTTTGTGGCCGGTTTGTGCACACTGCATTTCCGATTCTCCCTCAGCTAGGTTGATTTACATATAGGACCAGGCTGTTCTCTTTCGTTTCTATGCCTGCTTGGTGGAGTTCAGCCTGGAATGCATCATAGGTTTCTAGTTCTTCTGTTCTTCTTTCTAAGGCCTGTTTTCCTGTCATTGGTTGATGATAAGATCTGATTCTCCAGCAAAGAAGAGTAACTAGGAACCACAATGTTACCTAGGGCCTGTTTTCTAGGGCCTGTTTTCTAGGGGCTGTTTTCCTGTCATTGGTCGAAAAAAGAATGCAGACATCTGAGTGAGTGTTCAGCACAGGTACGTTCCACAACCTCGGCAGATTTGCGTTTGATGATTTGATCTAGCCGATTCTAGCGGACTTCAAGGAAGAAACAAATAAACTTCAGTGACACTTGAAAGTCCTAGTTGCTTCCACGCGCAAAGACTGAGAGAGTTAATCAATAATACTTACTAATTACTGGTACTACAGACACAGGCAATGATGGCAAGGGTTGCGATAACCAGCTACCGGCTTCACCCGAATAGAACGCCCGGTCATTATAGCTGCATTTGGCCCAACTTTCAGTCCAGATGCCGCGATAATGACCGGCCGTTCTATACGGGTGAAGGCGGTACACTTCCACAGAGACCTAAACCACGACCAGTGAGATCTCTCGCACAACCCCAGCCAGCAGCATGCATCCAAATAACCAAGCTCGTCCGGGCAATAACACAGTTTCCATGTACTTATCTCTTTTCTCCCAGCTCGGCGACGATTACCATGTCAATATCAGAAGGTTTGAACGGTTACTTAACGCAACGCCTTTATCGACTACCCAGTCTGACTCAGCACTCATCAGTTAACTTGCAAGGTAACACAGGGGCTCTACAGGTACTCACCAGTATCCCCAGCATTGCTTCAACATCGTGCGAGTATCTTCTCCAACCAGCCTTCCCCTTTCTCCCCGCCCACGCTAATCGCCCAATAATAATACCAACTCTTACAGAGAGGAATGCTGCACCTCTTGCCTTATTGTAATGAACACAATTTCAGAGGCCCACAATCGAATCTCGCATGAACACACAATGCTCAATTCAATGACAAGCAAACTGAGACAGCGTAGAAAGATAAGACTATGTGAGGGGAAGAAGATCAAAAGAATGGAATTATCTGAAGAACACAAACAATAAATACAATGTTCAGACTGATTCTCCCTCCTCTTTCAAGGGAATCCTTCTCACTGCCTCAATGCACCCAGTGGCTTGAATCTCTCGACTCCTTCATCGCCAATCTGGACACAATGTCACTTGCCACGTCAACCTGTCTACAGCGCTGGCTATCCCAGGTTAGCACAATGAAGCTGGAACTCACAATGACAAATCAAATGTGAATCTTCTCCAGAAGCATGGAAGCTTCTTCTCCCAAATCACTACCACATTGCCTCCCTGAAGCTATAATGAGCTTCTTTCTCACCCCCTGACCTGACTACATCGCCTCCTGGAAGCTATGGGGACCTCTAATCCCCTGCCTTCACTAGCACAAGTGCACAAGCACCAACAGCTGGATGATGAACGCTGGTCTCCCTCCTCCTGGAGTCTTCTTCCTCAGGTAGCTATGGCTGTCAGCCTTGGTAAGCTTCCTACACCTTCTTCTCAAAGCTTCTGCAACGGCGATCTCCTCCTTCCCACCTACACCCCTGACCCTTCTATGTACGGTGCCAGACAGTGTTGCAGATACCCCAACCATCGTCGCTCCTTGACTGACCGGTCGGCTGGTCGGCACCTACCGGTCGGGGGTCGTCGGCACCCTGCCAAAAAACAATATATCCCCATAACCCGACCAACACCCCCATTCCCGCCCCCTATTACCCCG